ATATTACTAGATAACTATAACTCACAAGAGAATTCTGCCATAATTTCTGAGCCTTTGCATTATTTGATTATGTTAGGCCTTTCTGCTCATTCCTACGTCCAGCAAACAAAACACAATACTATAATTTTCCATTACTTTTTTCATTCTCTTGAAACTAATTAGTACCTATAAGATGGCCATATAACTTATCTTAACCAAAACACTTTTGTGAAATGAGGATCTATAATAATTACACAAAAAAGAAAGGTAAACCAATTTTGGGACCAGCAGTTGGCATAATGATTATGTCACTGGACTCCCATGTAATTTCCCATGGTTCAAGTCCCACACCCAGGGGCTTAAAACACACCAGACACATGTACATACATGCCCAAAAGCCTGAGAGAAGGGATTGCAGCGTGGCCATCCCCGCAGGGGTGAGTTCTCGCTTTCTGTCTTTCTCTGTCTGACAAGCACACACACCCTTTAGCAAAAATTTCTTTCTTAAAAAAAAAAAAGGTACACCAAGTTTATTCTAGCCAAATAATTGTGGTTACTCTTTGACACATTGGTGTAAATTCGTAACTATTTTCAAGTTGATTAATGAGAATTTTAGTGTCTCTTTAGATATAATGTAACAAAATTCTTTAACAGAAAGAATTACTCAGTTAATTAATTTCTTTTCTCCATAATGCTCTTCCACTTATTGAGAACAATTACATCGGGGACCAGCAGTTGGTGTAATGGCTACGTTGCTGGACTTCCATGTAGTCGACTACGGTTCGAGTCCTGGACCTGGTGGCTTAAACTCACACTAGGTGCATATGCGTGCGTGCCCAGGATCCCTAGGGGAGAATGGAGGAGAAGGGATTGTGGCATGGCCCAAGAGCCCTAGGGAAGAATGGAGGTGAAGGGATTGTGGCGTGGCCATCCCCCCGGGGGGTGATTTCTTACTTCCTGTCTCCCTGTCTCTCTCTGTCTTTCTGGGGATCACATGTGCTGTATAGCAAAAACCTCTCAAAACAGTTACATCAGAACCCTATTTATCCAAAAATCTTGATCTGGTATTTATAATGAAAGAGAGTGTCAGCCTGTGGCATGTATGGTTAAAGCAAGTGGATCCCACACAGCATATTGTATGGTTCAAGTTCTGCACTTGGAGGCTTGAGAAACATGCCAGTTTAGAAGTAGGAAAGATAGGATGGGGTTGCGGCCATCCACCTTGGGAAGTGTTTTCTCACTTTCCTTGGCTCTCTGGCAAGCACATGTCTCCTATAGCAAATTTTAAAAGAAAAGAAAAAAATATATAATGGCTCAAAACCTAAGTCTGGCGAAAGTCATCAACTTACAAATTCAAGTTCAACAAATTCCATACTAAGACCCCAAGTAAGTTCACACCAAGACATATAACCAAACTGCTGAAAACTAGAGAAGGTGGGCCAGTCAGTGGTGTGGTGGTGATGGTGACTGGATCCCACATAGCTGACTACCCAGTTAAGAGTCTTTCTGGTGAGCGCACATGCCCTATAGCAAAACCCTTTCCCCCCAAAAAAACAAAATGGGGATTTGTTCTGAGAAATGTATCTTTAGGCAATTCCATTCTTGTATGAACATACCAGAGTGTACTTAAACATAGATGGTATAGCCTGCTAGACACCTAAAGTATATGGTATGATCTTAAGAGACCACTGTTGTATATGCAGTTGACCAAATCGTGTGTCACTTAACTAGAATTTATTTTATTTTTTAAAAAGAATTAATAATTTTATTTATTATCATTTATTTTTTCTAATCTGACCAAAGAGAGACAGAGTAAAAGTGAGAAAGCAAGCCAACAGGTTTAGTGGCTGGGGTCAGCCATGTGTGAGTCCAGTACCTCAACCACTATGCCACTTGCTAGCCCCTTATTTTTTTATTTATTTGTTTTTGAGAGTTTTGCCTAAGGGTGCTTACGCTCACCAAAGAGAGACAATGAGAGGGAAAGTGAGAAATCACCCCCCCCCCCCAGCGTGCACACACCACAGTCCCTTCTCCTCCATTCTCTCTTTCTCTTCCTGGGACCTTGGACATGCATGCACACACACACCTGGCTTGAATTTCAAGCCACTGGGCCCAGGACTTGAACTGAGGTTAGCCATATGGGTGTCCAGCAATGTAACCAGTATGCCAAATGCTGGCCCCTAGAATTCATTTATTTATTTAGAGATATTTTTGCTATAGGGCAGGGCACTCTCTGGAGAGAAAGCAAGCAAGAAACCACCCCTCTAGAGAGGATCGCCACGCCACAATCCCTTCTCCATCCTCAAGATTTTTGGCATGCATGCAGTGTTTTAAACTGGTGGACCCGGGAATTGAACCACAGTCAACTACATGGGATTCCAGTGACATAAGCACTATGACATATACTGGCCCCTAGAAATTTTTAAAATTACTTATTTTTTTAAGAGATTTTTGCTATAGAGCATATGCACTCGCTGGAGAGACAGAGAAAGACAGAAAGCAAGGAATCACCCGCACCCCAGGGGGAATGGCCATGCCGCAGTCCCTTTTCTTCCATTGTCCTCTTGGGTCTCATAATACCCATAAGAGTCTTGTGGGAAGGGAAGCAGATCCTCCAGCCCTTCATGCCTTCAAATGATTGTCCATTATATACTGCTGCTTTATGTGTTTCACAAATATCAATAGACACATTAAAGCATTATTTGTGATTATATAACATCTTTAACTTCCTTAGAGAATAGATCTAGTCAGGCCAGCCAGTGGTGTGGTTAAGGTAGATAAGTCACACATGGCCAACTGCACAGTCTGAGTCCTAGACCTGAGAGCTTGAAAATCACACTGGGCGCGTGTGCATGCCTCCCCCAAGTCCCCAAAGAATGGAGGATTACCCTCTATCTCTATCCAGCAAGCACCCTATAGCAGAAACCTAAAATAAAAACTAACCAAAAAAAAAAAAAAAAACCCAAACCATAACCCCTCACATACAGAAAAAGAGCTAATTTTAGCATCTGCAGTTATGTTCTTAAAATGAAAAGGTTTCCAATATTAGATAACTACTTGTCTAGACTTACATTCCATTGCACTAGGAAATAATATGATGTAAGAATGAATTAATGCTATTATGACACTTTTAAATTTTAAAAAATTGATTTGAGAGATAAAGATGACATAATCCACCAATCAAGTGAAAATTTTAATCTTACAGGATTATTTTATTTATAATCACTGCAAGAAAAAGTATAAAGTACCTAAACAGGTCTTAATGTACATTTAGATTTTCAGAATTTCTACTTGGTGCAGCTAGGATGGTATCACAAGGCTAAAACATGGAAAAAGCCCTTCACAATGAATTGACTCCAAAAGTGTCTAGTAGTTGATGTGTCTCTATTTTGGAAAGACCTGAAACCTGAACTCTTCAGTATCTAGAAATCCTTTATAAAGACCAGGCCTAGCCCTGCCACAGTGACAGTGGCAGTGCATTGTTCTGTGATGCTAGAGCCATATGGAAGACTAGGGTTCAGTTCCGGAACTAACCTGTATATGCCAAGTGCATGCAAATAAGCATGTGATCCTGGCCAGCTAGGAAGGCTAGGGGAAGGAATCCAGCATGAGACCCTGCTGAAGGTATTTGTCTCTTCCTCATGAAAAACAGAAATAGAAAACCAAAACCAGCCACAAATAACATTTCATGTAAGACCACCAGTTCTCAGTATTTCTAAGGAAAATTGGTATCATTCCAACGACACTCTGTTTCCAGCATAATATACAATTAATGTTTTTTTTTTCCATTCATTTATTTTAATTTTACCAGAGAGAGACACAGAGAGAGAAAGAAAGAAAGTGAGAAAGCAAGCCACCAGATCCAGGACTTGAACTGTGGTCGGCCATATGGGAGTGACCAGTGCCTTAACCACCATGCTATCTGCTGTCCCCTACAATTAATGTTGAATAGATTAATTAAATCTTCAATCTCATTACAAATTCATAACTTTTTTTGGGGGGGGAGAGGTTTTCGCTATAGGGTGCGTGCGCTCACCAGACAGAGAGAGACATAGAGACAGAAAGCGAGAAATCACCCCCTGGGGGGATGGTCACGCCGCAATCC